TCCAGATAAGGATCCACCAGAATCACCTGAGAGCTTGATATCTGGGTGTACATCAATACAGAGGGAGCGATCATGTTCAGTCCGATCCTTCCCATTTCTAGAGGAAGATGCTTCAGCATTTTTCTTTTGTTGCTTTTCCACGGAGAATGATTCACCAACGCCTGCTGGTCCTTCATCATCTACATCCCCTCCTGTATCAGGGTGTTTTAAGAGCCCAATTGGCTGACGAATTTTCTCAGATTGTTGACTAATATTGGTTCCTGCTTCAGCGTTTACGGTAATCATTGGTTCTGCGTGTTCTTCCAATGATGACAAATGCTCCTCATTTACCAAGTTCCCAGCATTAGACTCTTTCATCTGCTCATCAGTCTGGTGATCAGCTGTCTTATCAGAGGTCATCTGAAAATCAAGGTCCCCAAATGTCATAGGTTCAAAGCGCTCTTCTAAGGAGAACCTAGTCCCATTAAGGTGCCACAGTGCTGCCAAGTGGCCTGAGCCAAGTGATGGGCGGAAGTGAACATCTTTGTCCATCAGATGAGGCGAACATACGCTACACCATGAAAAGTTAACACTCTTAGCACTAGAACTACAATGTTTATTAAGAGAAGTATAGAATCAGAGCATACTCTCTAACTGGAGTGTGATCTGTGGTCAAAGACTCTGAACGAGAGACATCTTCCTCGTACTGTAAGAAGCAGCTTAATTGTCATGTATGCAAGAAAATCCATAGAAAGGAAAAGGACAAGGAAGTAGTTAAGGAGAAATTCCAAGTAACTCATGACATCATTAGAAAAAACTAATAAAGGTGACCGGCACTAAACTCACTCTTATTCAAGTACCATTAGAAATTAGCAGCTTGATAAATCAAATTATTTCCTCAAATTGAACACAGGCACCACTAACACTTTCCGGAACATGTTCCAAAAAAAAAAAGCAGTTACGTTAATAAATGAAATATCTTGACAAGTACAAATCACACTGACCAGCAGACAACAATCTACAAATAGCAAACTGATACGATAATATGCGCTACACCAATCCAAGTGATCTAGTAATCCTCTAATTTTTGTCCTGGCAATGAGTTTAACAAGAACTACGGAATATCCAAGGAACAGAAGTATTTCTTGCTAAGCATGAAAGTGATAATAGTGAATATAAAGCAGAAAGTGAGGTATTCTGCCTTCTAGAGAAATAAAACCTAGTTAGTAGTCAGAGAAATATGCTTTTAAAAGATCAAAAAGTGATAATAAATTAAACAATTACCTTGCTAGATAAGCCCAAGCGTGTTTGCTCACTTCTCCAAGCATCTGATCATAAAGCAGAAAAGTTATAACCAAGTACCCGCGGATGAAAAAACACAAAGATGTACAGTACCTGAAAGCATAATTTCTTCACGAGATGCCACATGACCACTTCAAACCAGCATATTGCAAACCAAGATTGAAATGATTAACCCCAAGCCAACAATCAGGAAACCGTGAAAGGAAAAAAGAAAAACAAAATATACAAATTGGCACTTGACAGCACAGTATACATATTTCACCTGCTTGCATTTTGATCTTCCAAGACTTCCAATTCAAAAGTATCCAGTTCAAATTTCTTTGGTCGTTTGATAAAGCAGTTAGGAGCACGCAGACCCTCAATCCTTAGAGCTGATAGTTTGCTAGTTGATCTCTTGTGAGTTGCAAAATCACCAAGTTTAACAAGAAAATGATTACAATCATGTAGAAGATATTCTACTTTCTTCGAGTATATTCTCACCACACCCAGGAGCAGGGGACCTAAAATTCTGTAGGTAACCACAGGAGCTCCATCCTTCAGAATTTTATCTGAAAAAAGAAACAAAAGCAGTAAATGAGGCAAAAACAAAATCAGTCAAGTAACTGTTAACACTTTTAAGAACTACTTTTTAGGTGCTACAATTTAGTGCCCCAATCAAACAGCAACAAGAATCTGAAATCAAAAAGATGCAATGAGCATTTGATTACATACAGACACAGCAAATCGTGAAGATGTAAATTGAAAAAAAAAAAACACCATACCGAAATCTCATCCAAGGAATTCTAGAGATTTAACATTTAACACCACCTATCATCACCCAATTTTGAAGTAAAATGTTCACAATACAACGTAAAGCCCGGAAACTTTTTCCCCTGGCTTGGAGAACATGATTATTTTTCGTGTATTTACAATTTTTTTACAATGTCTCGCGAAGTCTGTGTTAGTATAACTATAGCATCGTTGCATCTAAAACATATTAGGTCACAAACTATGGAAATATCTGAATAACCAGTATGCCGCAATTGAATCGAATTAGGCTTTGTGGCAAAATAATAAAAATGAATAGCACTCAATTTAGGAAAACTGCCCAACCCATCCAACTTACTCTGGTAATAGAAGGCTTATTCAATGTACTGATCAACATATAACACAATGGGTACAGAAAGTAACTACTAGCTGCTATTTGGGACAGAAAAACAAATTACACGAGCTGTTCATTCAAAAACAATATAAACAAACAACTTTTTTTAAGAACTAATTCAGCAGAACACCAATTTCCAATTCATCATACTATGGTTAGGATATCTAAACACCGACAGTGTAAAACATATTTACACCATCACGTCATTTAAAAGGTAATTGGAGGTAACTCTATTTAATAACATTGATCTATAACCTAGAACAAATGGTATATAACTTGCTATAACAGCTTAAATTACACTGATGGTGTAAAAAATTCGTTAGACTGTCAGCGTACATGACTTAAATCCTTTACTAAAAGGGTTTAAAAAAACCAGCAATGTTAAAAGACTACTTTTTAACTTCTTTCTATAAATGAAAAGGAGAAAAACGAGAAAGGAAAGAGCAGAGAAAAAGGAAACGTACCAACAGAAGAAGGGATGTTAGTTTGCTGAACTTGGTCCTTCTTGAGGCGTTTATGAAAATGAGCAGCAAACCAAATGGTGCGTAAAGCCCCCTTCTTTGAAAGTAGAAACTGTGAGTAAAACATGTTGTTTGTCTCTTTACCTATCTTAGCTTCTGTAAAAGAGAGAAGCAAATGCCTCCCTCTACAGTTCAAAATTCTGTGAAAATAAATATGTGTAGGAGATGAATCTAAGTGTAGGCTGTTGATATATATTCAAATTTCAAAAGAGAATAACCGCTGCAAAAGGATCTCACACAGAGAGGGAAGAAGAGGAGGAGGAGGAGTTGAGTTTTGAAGAAGGAAACGGTTCCCTTGTAGTGTGTCAGAGAAGTCTCCCAATTTTTTGTTGATTTCATTTTTCGAACCAAAAATCATCAACATGACGATATTGACCTTCTTTCTCTCTTTTCTGTATTTAAGGGGTCGTTTGGTAGGGTGTGTTAGAAAAAATAATGCATGCATTAGTTTTGTGTATTAGTAATGCTTTGTTTGGTATACTTTTTCAATTTATGTATAACTAATACAAGCATTAGTTATACACTCTATTTGGTATTATCCTATGTATAGCTAATGCATAGAAAATCATGACATTAGCTATACAAAGGCTATTAATGCATGCATTTGTATGATTAAAGACAAAATTATCCTTAAAGTCCCTTAAAGACTATGGAGGGTAATTTTGTAAATAATTAAATTTCTTAAAAATTATGCAATGCATTTTAATTTTTAATACACCACACCAAACAATGCATAAGAAATAATCTCTGTATAACTAATGCTTACATTACTAACTCATGCATTACTAACCCCTGCATTACCAATGCACCTTATTTAGCATTATTCTTATACGCCCTACCAAACGACCCCTTGATAATTATCCCTAATACTATTTGATATTCCTTATGTTTTTGGTCGTTTAATAGTAAGTTGATACTCCCTCTGATCTACTTCAAGTAATTTTTTGGTCTTTTTTATGCTCCACGATATTTGATTTTCTCTTACAGATTTTCGAGGACATGACCCTTGATAGAAAGGTGTGGAGGTCGAACAGTAGAGTTGTAGGCTAGAGGATAGTCGAGCTTTTTCTACTTCATACCAGGGGTGAGACGGGTTTGATAGGGTTGACCTTAGACGGCTTGTGGCTAATTTAGAGTCCACGCTATCCTTTCTGTTTTTCATAGCCCCGTGCCTTAATTGGTGGTTATTGTTATTGCATGTTATTTATTTTATGACTTTTATGATGTTGATACTATGTCTATGATTTCTGTTGACGATACTGATGAATTGTCTCTTCTTGTTTTATTTCTGTTGTCCTGAGCCGATGGTCTATCGAAAAAAGCTTCTCTGCCCCATCAGGGTAGGGTTCTGCGTATATATTACCCTTCCCAGACTCTACTTTGTGGGATTTTACTAGATTATTGTTGTTGTTGTTGTTGTTGTTGATGATGTTTTATTTTCTTAGATATCGAAAAAGAATTAATTTTTTCTTTCCAAAGTTGTTCTTGAAGTAAAGAACTTACGAGTAGCTTGTTATATTTTCAATAAGCAAATTACGGTTAATATAGTTAATTTCATTGTTAATTAATGCTAAAAAGTGAATTTCTTAATATGTGTAAAAAGAAAATTACTTAAAGTGGATGGGATGGAGTACCATTTTTAAAAGAAATACTTAGTTAAGAATATAAATTGTTTGTACTTGTTAAACATGTGAGATTAGTACAACAATCTTCACTTTTTTTAATGCAATGAAACTACAACTACTTGTCTTGGGGTACATTTTTTTTTTAATCTAGGCATCTACTTTAATTTTTAATGTTGAAGAGAAAAGGGAAGGTTAAATTTGTAAAGTGACGTTAATTCGCGAGTTTCTTTTTTTAATTTGTCTGATTTATCGGCAGTAAATAAAAAGAGACAGGTTTGTGCTTATCTATTTTGGGGGAAACGGTAACTTCGATGTACGGTGTTTTTCGGGGCTTTGACCCGATTCAAAAATGTTTTTATCCTCTGCTTGCCAGCTCATCCATTTTGACTGCAGTACGTGTCATTTTGACACACCCTTACCCACCCTCTGTCAATTTCTAGTTCACTTCCAGAATCATTGACTAATTATATTATATATTATATTATATTATATTATATTATATTATATTATATTATATTATATTATATTATATTATATTATATTATTTCATATTATATTATATTATATTATATTATATTATATTATATTATATTATATTATATTATTTCTGTTAAAGAAAAGAGTTAATCCTAAATCTGGAAATTGATTCTGTTATTTTAAAACACGCAGTGGCTTCCGAAAGAAGAAAAGGTTGTCCGATATAAGTTTTTGTGGTGATATAAAATAAATTTCATTCTTCTCAAGGAAAAGAACACTAAAATTTTGAGATCGTGGCGAGATAGATAATAAAAAAACAAGGCCGCCTCAAGTAATATTGTCTAAGTAATGTTCAGTTGTTATAAATATATTATATTGTGGATGTTGATTTAATACTTCATCATAAATAATTTTCCTGAAAAAGCCTAAAAAGCCTATTCATATGAGACTCCATCGTAAATATGTTTATTTATTTAGTACTTTATTGGAATAAGCTTCCTGAAGAAGTTTATCACTTCGGTACCCGGTTATGGATAAACATTACTCTAGGTAGAAGATTATCCATACCGGGTATAATAAGCTTATCCATTCAGTACTCCGTTATGGATAAACATTGCTCTGGTATAGTAGCAGCTTACACAGCAACTTGCAGTAACAGCTTACACAGCAGCTTGCAGTAGCAACTTACACAACTACTTGTAGTAGCAGCTTACACAACAGCTTGCAGTAGCAACTTACACAGTAACTTGCAGTAGCAGCTTACACAGCAACTTGTAGTAGCAGCTTACACAGCAGCTTCCTTTCTTCTATAAATAGAAGAGGTTTCAGTTAATTATGTACATCCGTTTGAATTCGAATAATATATCAGTTTCTCTCTATACTTGTCTTTACTTTATAGTCTTTATTTCATAATACGTTATCAGCACGAGACTCTGACATCTCGAGCAAATACTTTGAAAGTATTAGAGGTAAGAACTTTCTTTTCCTAAATAATGTCAAATCTTTCTAAACTTGAATTTGTAGCCCTGGATATATCGGGCAAAAGCTACATGTCTTGGGTGTTTGATACTGAATTCATCTTGATGTGATGGGTCTGGCAGACACTATCAAGGATAAAAATCAGGCATCAAACCAAGACCGTGCCAAAACAATGATATTCCTACGACATCACCTTGATGAGGGCCTGAATATGGAATATCTCACTATTAAAGATCCAGTCATACTGTGGAATAATTTGAAAGATAGATATGACCACCTGAAGATGGTCGTTCTTCCACAGGCACGTTATGATTGGACTCATCTAAGGCTACAAGATTTTAAATCTATCAGTGAGTATAATTCTGCTATGTTCAGAATTATTTCTCAATTGAAGTTATGTGGTGATAATATTACTGATCATGATATGTTGGAGAAGACTTTCACCACTTTTTATGCCTCGAATATGCTCCTGCAACAGCAATATCGAGAGATGGGATTTAAAAAATATTCTGAACTTATCTCACATCTTCTTATAGCCGAGCAACATAATGGGCTATTAATGAAAAATCATGAAAGCCGACCTACTGGTTCTTGTCCATTCCCTGAAGTGAATGAGACGAACTTCCACCAGGCTAAACGTGGAAAAGGTCGTGGCCCCAGTCGTGGTCATGGTCGTGGTCGGGAAAGAAACTCTAATCATGGTAATAATAATGCACCAAAGAACACTCCTCACCACCAGCAGTGGAAAAGGAAGGAACAAAAGCATGAAGCGGTGCAAGCACCAAATGCAGAAAATGCATGCTATAGATGTGGAGAAAAAGGGCACTGGTCACGTACCTGTCGTACGCCAAAGCACCTGGTTGAGCTTTATCAAGCCTCTCTAAAGAAGACAGAGAAAAATGCTGAAGCAAATTTTATTTCTGAAGATAATTTAGACTTCATGCATTTGGATGTAACTGATTACCTTGCACTCCCAGAAGGAGAAACAAGTCATGTAATCGGTGGTGAATCTGTAGAAATGTAAATATTTTAATTTTTGTTATTTGTAATAGATAGTATGGTTATGTAATTGTTGTACATAAAAAAAAATTATGATTTGATAATGATGTTTACTATAATATATCTTATTTATGTCATTTTGAAGAATATGGATAATATTATTAGATCAACTTAAACTCTAGCAGAGTTTGCAAGAAATATACAACCACCAGAAGTAGTTTTATTTCATATATCTCATTGTAATTAACCATAAGAAGTGGTATATATCTATGATCACCAGAAGTGATAATTTTGGCTTTCTATGGTTACAATTGAAGATAAGCTACATAAATATTCTCTATATTAAATGCACGCCTCGATTTGCTCCTGAAGTAGTAAATATTTTAAAAGAAGTTGAGGCATCACAATTTGATGTGATTAATGCGCATTCAGATAATTATGTTCGATTTCCTGAAGGATGAGAACTTTTGATAATATTAATCCATTCCCTGAAGTGAATGTGACAATACTAATAAGTCGGGTAAATATGAACGCGCTCTTGATGTGAATACATTACAATTCACCTCCAGAAGAGTTAATATAATTGAGAGAATATATACTCAATATTTCGTATTTTAAATTTGCTCCTGAAGAAGTAACACAATTGAAATTGCCTCCTGAAGTGGAAAAATATTATGAAGAGGAGTTTTCGTGTGCTTAAACAATTGTTTTACATTGTTTATTTGATTGTGATTTTCTCTCATGACACCAGCAGTGTCTGAGCAATATTTGATAGTACAAAATGTATCAACAACTCCTGAAGAGCTAAATGTTTGCCTAAAGAATACATGACACCAGTAGTGCCAGATAAATATTAGATTGTGGATAATAAATGAAGGCTCTCGAAGAGCTTATATACAAATATGTCATTCATATTATATGATTATGGTCAAAACATATGTTGTAGTAAACCTGAAGTTTACTAATACAAATGGCTATCATATTGAGACTACAATTGGAAGATTGATAATCGCCATGTTTCCACAATCATAGGGGGTAAAATAATATGTACCCGTCTTATTCTTTAATTTGTACTATATTATGTATCACAGTAAACCAGAAGTTTACTAAATCAAAAGTTTATGCCATAGTAAACCAGAAATTTACTAAGAGATAGCACATGACATGATAAACTTGAAGTTTTCATTTTCCATTTTTACATGAGCTATTTGAGAATTCGGATAAGCATATACTAAAGAACTAGAAGATTCTTCAGGAATTCTCATGTGTT